TGAAATGTATGGCTTTTTGATCTAATGATGCTCTCTCCTATTAATAGTACTTAAGGAAGAAAAATTCATTGCTACTATCCTTTAGAAACTAAAGAGTTTATAACAATTAAATGTGTTATAAAAAATTGAAAGGACTTTTGCTTTAATTTAAGACAACTGGCCTTTTTAAGCCATGCCTAACAATTGATGCGAAACGTTGAGAAGTGATACGATCTCGAGAATAAGTGAAAAATATTTTTAATTTACTGTGTCAGATTCTTGTTCTATTCAAGGATTTTATCATTACTTCAAAAGGATATTTAAAACAATCCTTCTATCATTATTTTCCCCCCAATTCTTAATCCCCTAAGCACCAAACTCTCGAAAACCCTAAAACTCCTTCAATTCACATTTGCTCTTCCTCATCAATAGCATCTCATCCAGTAACCTCTAATTTGGATCTATCATCGTCTGAGCAACATCCCAAAGTATTCCTTTCTACCCATGTAAATGAGTTGATAGTCCTTTATGAAGCTTTGGTGGATTTCAAAAATCTTGCTGCAAACGATTTTTATCAACTTGATGTCGTTAGCTTTCAGAAATGGGAAAACTACTTTGATCGTCTCTACAAGCCAATATTCACTGATCTAGTTAAAGACTTTTGGATACACACATATGTCTCTATAAGTAGACATGTGTGTTCGAGCGTCCATCGAAAGAAGATCTTTATTACAGAAGAAGACATAACCATGCTTTATAGTCTTGATAGATCGGGATCTACTCTCACTAACATGTCACCAAAGGTCTACAAGAAATTTGGTATAGTTAAAGTTATCTATCAGAAATGGGCTAAGGAATAAAAGGCAAAAAAAAAATTATTTCTAACCTAAGTGTTTGGTTTAGAAACTTTCTGGGTAGTTTCACTCATCGCTGTCTAACTAACTCTCCTAACCATGTCAATACTGACTAGAAGTATCTTCTGCATGCCATTCAAACCTCTGAGAGAATTAACCTTCTAGCAATTCTCTTGAATCATCAGAAAACCACCGTTACTGAATCAAGGGATGGAGGATCCAAAAAAATAAGAATATTCCTTTTGGAAGACTTATTTCTGACATTCTTGTTGAAAGTCGTCTTTTTCTCTTTCTGAGCAGTCAAGATTCAAATGTGATCACCGGAGCCTCCGTAAATGGAATTACCCTAAGATATCTTGGTTTGAAAAATGGAGAAGAAATACAGGATCCCGAGGAACCAAGTACATCATATTTAAAGGAGAGACGAATTTTGGTGATAGGATTTCCAAACTTTCTGCTTGATTGATCATCTATGATCAATGATAAGCCCCACATTGCTCCCACTCGACAGAGAAAAAGGAAATTGGCCGAAGAATCCAAGGCTAAAAAAGTCTTTGTAGCTCCTAAGAAAACAAGGGTAATCCGAAGACGTGTTGTGATACTTGAGAGCTCAGATAGATCTAAACCCTATAAGGTTTCTAGGATTTCAAAGGGATCTTATGCTCGCTCTAGAGTAGATTCTAAAATAGAATTAAATGAACATCTAGTTGCCTTCAACCAAGAAGATTTAAAAACCACATACACCACTATCTCTATTCTTACAGAGCCTCAGTTTAATCCAACCTCTTTCGAACCTCCATATCCACACTCCTCCTTCATTTCTCCTAAGGAAATTAATATCAACTATCCTGCATCTAACCATCTATCCCAGTCTGAAGAAGGTCTCGTTGAATGTCAAGATGTTCTCCTATCTGAAGAAGAAATCCTATAGATTATTGTTGTGCATGACATGGATCCTTGTCCATACGCCATGAAACCCCTGGTCTACTTTTCTAGAACAGACATTCAACACATTCCTCTGAACAAATTATTGTACCATTTCAGAGTTCGTGTTAGAAATGCTCTAAAACTGGTAGAAAGAAGAACCCTAACTAGCATAAATCCAGAGGAAGTTTAAGTTAATTGGAAGTCATTCAGATATTGGCTGGAAAGAAACTCCAGAATCATGGAATCCTATGGTCTTGTTGAAGCTGCCAAAAAGCACAAAGCCTCGGAAGAAGCCACCACATAGGTTCTCTTTTTACCTGCTCCAAAACCAGAAGTTGTGCTTGCCTTATAAGTTATCCCCTCATATGGTACTTCTGGTACTACGTTAGCAGTGGTTGACAATCAACCTTCTTACTCTAAAGTGAAGCTTGCTATGGACGTTTAAAAGGAAATCAATGGGCTGAAGGAAACTTTAGAAAAATTCCAAGAAACCAATCTGCGTATCCAAGAACCTCTGAATAAAAATGAAGAAAACAATGTTGCTTAAGCAACTTCCTTTAATTAGATGACTGAGATGTTGAAACAGCTTATGGAAAGCTTAACAAGGAGTCTTAGGATTATATCTTTTTCTTAGAACTTAATATTTATTTTCTACTATTTATAAAACAATTATATATTTTAAACTATTGTTTTAATGAAGTTTTAAATGTTTATTGGTTATCTTACAAAAAAAATTGTCTCTTTATTACCTTTTTTATTTCTGACAAAGGGAGGAGAAAGCAAAATGATTTTGATAATATTTATTCTCAGAATCTTAAACTTAAACATATATAATGTTGTTGCTACTAATTGTTTGTTTGATGTTTCAATCCAGGAACTTTGAATAGGTTCACTGAGTATTCTAAGACAGGTTAAATATGAAGATCCAGCTGTCTATGGTTGAGAACCTTATGGATGAAATCAACTTGATTTTTGATATAAGAATTTGTACACTTTGTGAATATATGTATATTCAAACAGATGTACCAAACACAATTTAGAAGTTATAAACTTACTGAAAGTAAGGTAATCTTGCTTGATATCATATTGTTCAGAAGTTGTGAATTTTCTGAAAGTATGGAATTCATGCTTAAAGCTTCAGAAGTTGTGCTCTCCTGAAAGGAAGTCAAGTCAACATTTTCATGCACACTCTGATACAGAGATGCCACTCAGAATATGTGCTCTGATACATGTGCTTCTGCAATGTATGTTCTATTCAGAAATTGTAAACTGTCTGAATGTGTGATATATTGGAAAATATCATGTCAAATGTTGATGCTTAAGAAGTAGTGAACTTCTCCAAAAGTATAGTGTTTTGGATATGATATTAGAATCCAAAAATAAAAGTGATGATACATGATGTGTGGCATTATTCAATCGGTCTTAAAATCAAGTTTTGATTCTTCATAAAGTTCTGATAATAACCAGGTTTTGAGATAAAGACAAGGTGTTCTAGTCAGACTCTGACGAGTTGTTGTAGGAAAGTGTTCCTTCTCTATTTCTATGTTCTGAAAACTCAAAGTTTATTTTGTGAGTCTTGGGCTCAGGGAGAGACTCTGAACAAGCATATATTAAATTTTGGGATTAACAGATTCAGGGGGATCTGTGAGCTTAACTCTGAATTTTCCGGTTATAGTGATTACCCTATATAAATTGTTCTATAAAAATACATGGTTTTGTCATCATCAATAAGGTAGAGATTTTAAGAAAAAAAGTGTTTCTATATCTGGCCCTAAGATTTTAATAATAACTTTACATGATGTTATAAAGAACAATTGTATACTCTAATAGTTTTGTTCTAGTGTGTAGCGGTTATTGTACTGTTCCAATTGTATAAGCACTACTAAAAGAAAACATTTGGTTACGTGTTATAATTGAAGTCAAGATTATGGAATTCATCTTATGAAAAGGTTCTTAGGAACATAGTACAAGAGGTTCTGATTGTGACTTTGTGGTTAAGGTTTGGAGGCCTTCTAAAGCTTTTCTTCTATGTGTTCAAAGTTTTGAAGATTATAAAGATGAGTTTCTGTTGAACAAGTTCTGATGATCTGAAGAAAAACAAGTTCTTAAGACCAAGTGTTGAAGACTCTGAAGACAAGGTTCTGATGGAACAAGTTCTGAAGACTCCAAGACTTAGGTTCTAAGACTTGAAAGTGATTCTTATAGAACAAGCTTCAAACATTCAAATTATCTGAGGCCTCTAAAGATTAGAAGTAGTTCAAAATAGTTAACGTGTGATGGTGTACAAATGGTACAAAAACTGCTCTTTAACCTCTACCCTCTAGGGCGGCGTAAGGATAATCCTTTCATACTATACTGTGTACCACTCTCGTTAAGACTGTTGGGAACAAATGGCTAGATTTACGATTACCCACTACAAGAAAATTGGCAGATTGCGACAGGTATTTTTGTAGATTACGACGGTTAAAACCGTCGCAATTTGCTTTCCACGACGATTGCTTTACCGTCGCAGAAGTGTGTGTCCCCAACCTATTTCGCGACGGTTACAAAAACTGTCGTTCAAATTTACGACGGGTTGATACCGTCGTGACTATCTTTTGAGTTTCTTTTAATTATTGATGGCGACGGTTCGATACTGTCGTGAATATCTTTTGAAATTGATTAAATTGTTTATGGCGACGGTTCGATACCGTCATGACTTTCGTTGATTATTTTTAATTGTTGATTACGACGGTTCGGTACTGTCGCCATGAGTTTTGTTTATGTCTTGATTTTTTTTTATTTTTCTATTATATATATTTTTTATTTAAATTATTATCTATGTAAAAAAATTTAAATATAGTTTTTTTTTGTGTTATTTTTTTCTTTAATGTACCATAGGAAGAGAAAGACTGGTAAGATACGATCAAAATGATCTATATCAGATGACGCTCTTAGAAGGAATAATTTTGAAGAATCATATTTTATTTCCAAAATAAATATAATGAGTTGAGTGGCTTTTACACTCTGCTGTACAAACTTTATACCTCAACTATCAATACAACCTTGGTATTGCAAAGCTCAATTGCTTCACCAAAAATATTTTGAATTAAAAAATGACTAACAAGGAACCCAAAAAGACATGCTCACCAACAGCCCTTGTTTCCCTACACAAAATTAATACCAAGCAGCTATGAACAAAGAAATAAGCCTATACATCAAACCACTACAAAGAAAATCATGTGGTTAAGTATACTTGACTCAGAACAACTGAACAGCCATTTTGAGTTTGTTCTGTTTCCATTTTGGCAACGTGTAAAATTCGCTCCTGGCCATTCCCAGTTTCTCTTTGAACACGACGTTTGACAGGTAAGCCTGCATGCACCAACCTCAAACAAGTCAGAATCAAAATTAAAAAATCATGACTTAATTCTAAGATGTAACCTACAAAGAATGGAGGAAAAACAACAAAAAGACATGTTGTCGTTATAGTATACCTCCCGTTTAGTCACGTCAATGTCTGGCATAGGATCGGTAGAGTCTGTGTTAACACTTTCATATGGGTATACTGGAAGACCTTCATTATCTTCAGCTTCACCTTCTTTCACATCTTCCTGTATAGTAAGAGATTCTTCTATGCTGCTCGTAGAATTCTCATTGTCACTATTTGTCTCTGGGTCCGATTTGGAGGTACCTGTACTCCATTCAAATCATAGCAGACCAGACAAAAGAATAAGCATATTTTATAAAAGAACAAATTCTAACAGCAGCATAAAATAAAATCACAATGAGCTCGTCTACTTCGTACCTTTAATCGACCTAGGAAACAAACTTCCTCGTGCTGATGGCCGTTCAAAAGCAGAAGTAATGTTAGATATGGATGAAGATTTAGATGTTGGTGATGATGAATCTGGTGTCTTAGATTTTGGGTACAGTTTTCTAATCATTGGAGGTGGAGTTGAAAGGTTTCTAACATTTGAGCTCTCGAAAGTAGCTGCCAAGGCATTGAAGGCCGGAGATCTTCCTCGCGCACGAGCCCGGTCAGGACTAACAGACATACTGCGGGAGCGTTGTGATTTCTCTGGAAAGCCACCAGACCTTCCCCCATAAGATACAAATGCTCTTCTTTTGGGTTTCTGAAAATGTAACCAAAGAGATCAATGCAAATACAATCAGGAGTGGAGGTCCAATCTTGTCCTTGAAAAAAGACCGTTTGGTCTGTAATAAATTTATAAGTCTGCAAATTACAAGCATTACTTTTCAAAATTACAAACTGAGCACAAAATCAATGAAAGAAATCATGAAACCAAGTAAGTAATTAGAAGCATAATTTTTTACTCCTCACATATCATTAAAGACTAAACTATCATTTAGGAAATAAACTTAATTCACTAACAAGATCTTCTAAAGAAAACATGATACTAATACAAAATCAAAACCTTTTTCTAAATCAACAAAATTAATATAAAAGCCACTAAATCCGAGAACAAGACATTCCAACAAAACTAGATAAAAACACAGAAAATTACATCCATAAACCACAAAAACTAACTGCAGCCTAGAAATTCTCAAGAAGCCAGTTAACCGGAGAATGTATTACCCATCATTGCAAAATTTTCCAACAGACAACATAAAAACACAACAGGGGAGCAGCAAAAAAGTCACAATATAAACTTAACTAGATATTAGGCTTTTAACCATGGATAATTTAAAATTCAGTCACATAAAAGTATAATAAAATTATGATTTATGAACGTGTACTCATACTATATACTTCTAAATGTTCATTAATATTTTTAACCTATATAACATGGTTAGCGAATTTTTTTATTATCTGTAGATAGAAATATTGTTATTGAAGCCTCATTTTGTTTAGAACTTCACTACAAGTTAAACATGCAAAGAAATCAATAATGTACTGTACTGTAAGAAATATCATAGCCATGCACATGTGGTTGGTTTGAAGATAACATCTAATAAAAATTCAGTAATGAAATTTGAAGAGGAAATCCTTGGAGATCTTCACAGTTCAAACTCAGGTAATTTAGCTTTAAAAGAAAAAAATTCACTTCATAAAAACTTTTGTTATCACTCACCAAATTGTGAAGAAGCCAAATGATCAGACTGTGACGGTGAAGTCTAAGACATAGTAGGAATCAGACACGTGCAGGAAAAATGCAACTAAAAGCGAAGGAGAGGGCGAGAGGCAAGGACTGTGAGCATAGGGATCGTGTAATGCAGAGCAAGTGTTGCAAGCTGTAGATCAAGTGCTGCAGAACGAGAGTAGCCAACTAATTGCTGAAATAACAAGCAAAAGTTAAATCAATTTTGGCCTGAGAGGCACAATCTGTTACAAAAATGCAGATTAGCTGGCTGGGAATACATGTGACAATCCCGTTCAAAGTCATAGCTTATATAAATATCTGAAGCTAGGGATCTTGTATATATATACCTGTGCATATTCCACAACTGAGAATACAAACTTTGTCAAGTGGTGCTTCAGGATTGATCTTTGCAACACATCCAGCATGAACCACTGTGTACTCACTGAATGTAGAGGTGCCCACGAAATGGTTTATGGGCTCTCCATTGATAGAGAATCTAGACTTGTTATCATTGAGCATGACACCTCTGTCAGTGTTGATCCTAAGAAGATCACACATGTTGCTCTCCTCTGACTTACAATGTGGACATTCACCACACTCCCCTGTGAATACAGGCAGGGCTTTATCCCCTGGTTTCAGATGAGTCACACCTTCACCTACGCTCTCCACGATCCTGATAAACATCATTCATTCACATTACATACTAAATTACTGATACACTAAATAATCAAGACATTTTATCAGAAGAGAAGCATATACCCTCCAGCTTCATGACCAAAAATACGAGGAAACAATGGAGTCTGACCCTGAAACAGTGGCAAAAAAGAGAAAACCATGTTAAGCTATTGCGATTCATAACAACATATAGAAACAAAACACACTATTTTCTTAACTGTACGACCAACTTCAGAACCATCAGATTCATCCAGCTGCAGCTGATTGTGTTCGACCACAGTGTTATCCCATTGCTTTCTGTAGTGATTGTCCATGTAGAAGTTTCTTAGCATCTCGGCGGAAATATCATTGAACACAGTCATACTCCAATATTTCAGGGGACCATTCTGCAACATCCAAGGACAACAAGTTCTTCAGCGGGTGTCTAGTTAAAGTATTAGTTTTTCATGTCTTAGATAGTTGAAAAGAAGCAGGAAAGGTATGAGCGATAGTGAGTGGAGAGTTTAACCTTAGGTTTGGTGGATTTAGCTTTGTAGCATAGATGATGATTTGTTTTATCTATGACATCCTCCCATTTATGGTTCTGATTTAGAATTTCATCCATTAAAAACTTCAAATCAGCATCAGTGACAGTGTTTGAGGTTCTGCAATTGTAAACCCTAAAAAGCCCCAATTTCAGTAAAGCGTATGAAATTGAACGAAAATAAAATGAATAAAGTAGAGTAGTAGACCTTGGGTTTAAATTGCTAGAATCGGAGATCAAAGAGGACGCCAACAGGGATCTGCTCTTACGGTTCAGAAGAAACAATAAAGTAACAACAACAACAAGAAGAAGAAGAATAGCGCAGCCACCATAGAAGTTGCTCAAATTTAAAGGGAAGCCATCGAAGCTTCTTAAGGTTCTCATCGAATTGATGTGGTTGAAGTTTATACAGAGAAAAAGCAAAAGTATGAAGAAATTTGGAGAAAGATACGTGAACAATAAATAAAAAGAGAAATAGACGAAGCGGGGTAAAGGATTTAGGGGGACGACGGGTGTGGTTACCGTCGTGCCCTTTCATAACTTTTGCATGTTTTTTAAAGGTTTAGGGGGGCGACGGTTGTTTTACCGTCGTGATGTCTATTTTAGGACGGTTTCTTAACCGTCGCAACATTCATTTTAGGGCGGTAGGTGTATACCGTCGTGACATGGGTCCCTATATTAGAATTACGACGGTTATTAAGTAACTGTCGTAATTTTTGTGTCGTAAAATCCTAATTTTCTTGTAGTGACCTTTCTACCCTTTCAATAGATTTATTTTACAAGCTATAAAAGGAAGACTTGGAAGATGAATAAAAGTAAGAATCAACATTACAAAGAAAAATCTATTGAATTAAATTAAGCTCAACAAAACTACAAGAAAGCATTGTGAAACTCTTTAGAGAAATCTTATGTGTACAGTTTTGTAAATAGGCAAGGAGTTGTTACTTGTATCTTGCTGTAAAACATTTAGGTATTTTTCTTTGTACTGAAACATTTTTGTAATCTGCTTAAAAGAAGCAAATTTTAATACAATGAAAGTATTCAATGGTTGTTGATTGATTCCTTGAGTGACCAAGTGAATGTCAGATCTCAAGAAGAATCTTGTTGCGGTTTGAGTGGATTTTCAATAAGGTTCAACTGACTTATTGGGGGTGCTAATAAGGTTGATTTGACTTATTGTGGGTTGGCTGTAATCAATTTGATTATAGTGGATTAAGTCCTTGTTGAAGTAAAAAACACCTTGAGGGGTGGACTGGAGTAGCTTAGATAACAGTGAACCATGATAAAAATAATTGTGTTTATGCATTTTTATGTTCTAAGTTAACTTGGTATTTCATCAACAAAAAATATTTAAAATTATTTTGGTGAAGCCCAATTCAAACCCCCATTTCTTGTGTTTCTCACACCTTCAATTTTTTCATAATTGTTTCATTCCGAAACTTCCTTCTTTTACCTAAAAATAGCCAAACTATAAATATGTCATTCATGTATCATTCCAACTTGGAGATACCATAAAATTAGCCTACATTTGATCTTCATCTTAAACCTCCAATCTATGCATACACACTAGCATTACATTGTAACGATGTTCTGTTGTGGTGCCATCTAGACGAGGATTGATAATGTCTGATTAGATTCTTATGCAGTCGAAGATAGTGGGTTGAGATTTGTAGAGTTCTTCATCTGGAAAAACTGCTGATTTGTCCTCCAAGATTATTGGTTGATTTGGGGGTTTTTCGTGCAAGACGTTCAAGAGGTAATTGCAGACAAGTGAAGTCCTTTGGAGATAAAGAATGCAAGGGATCCTTTGGAGATAAAGAACACAAAGGAAGTAACGAGAGAATGGCGAATTACAATTGAAGTCTTATGGTTGCAATAGGTACAATTAATGGTGTTCAAAAGCTTTGTAGGTAAACTACGCAAAGGAGTAGCAAGATCTAGATAATCAATTGGTAGCTATTGTGTCTTGGTCTTGTTGAAGATCAAAGGAAGAGAATATGTTGAATCAACATCAAACGGTTATGGTTTGTAGGGTTTCTCTTGAACACTTCTCTTGTATTCATACTTTTGAAAAGTAACAAAGTGTCCTAATTCCACATTGAAATTAGGCGCAGATGTACCCACATACGACGACGAAAGTTGGAAACTCTGTAGAAAAATCCTTGTGTCTGTTTTCTTTTATTTCTTTACTTGATTTAATTTTTATATATCAATTTGTCAAATAGCATTGATTAATCTATCGACGCGTAGGAACTTTCCAAAATTGTTTTTGTTTTGAATTGTGTGTTGAGTTGCTTATAATCACTTTTGATTATAAGTACATTTTCATATCAACACAACAAAAAGGAAAATTCGGAAACTTTCATTGCACCTCAAGTGTTTGACAAATATTTTAGCTTGTTTAACTCAAAGGAAAATTGTAATATTCTATCTCTTACTCTCATTTAATTTCTATATGCAATTTGTTGAATATATTGTTTGATTGATTGATTCGTATAAAAATTCTCTTTGATTATTAAAGCTTAAATTTCTTTGTTTATTAGCTCATTATCACTTTTATTGTAAGTGCTTTTTCATATCAACAAATCTCAAAGAAAATTCTAAAAATTTGTTTGCACGTCACATGTTCGATAAACTGTCAAGTTATGGTTTTAATATGATTTCATTGGAAATAGAAAATTGTTGTGTTTGATATTAAACTATTGATGGAGATATTATTATGTTTATTTATTTTATCATTATCTTAATTCCATATGACTTGTGTATATCCGAGTTTCCAATAACTAGGTTCGTTTAGACTACTATTTTGATCTAGGCCAAAAACCTTCCGCTCAACATTATTTTTCAAATAAGTTTTAAATAACAATTTTTTTGAAATGTCATTTTTAATTTGGGCATCTATTCAACCCCTTCTAGATGAGTTACCATAGTCTAACAAGAATCACGTAAAGACGCAAAAATGTCACCATAAACTTCTTTTATGACTCAACCAAACTCCTCCCGACCTAAGGCACCCTTACTCCCACTCATATAGTGGTCCCACAATTCTTTTCTCTCCTCAGCATTTTTGGTTTTTACAATGCTTCCCTCACCGTCACACTCTCTTATGGTTACCATTCTCTAAAACTAAAAAGAGGAAAGAATTAAAGAGAACGAAAAGGAGAAGGAGATACTTGAAAGTGATGAACGCTTTGATCAATGTCAGTTTCACCGAAGAGATACGTTACAGGTTTTGAGATGAGATGAAAAAGGAAAAGAGAAATAAGGTTTAAATAGGGGTCCAATGAACAATGGCGTTAGAAAGGAATAGTCACTAGCATCAATTCCCAATAAAAGTCATCATTGTGTTATGAGAGAGAAAAAATGCTCAAGGAACATGACTATTCATTACTTGACACGTTAGCCGTAGTGGGACTCGGGTTTATAACCCAGGCTTAGCCTTAATACATCTCAGGGGCTCCTTGACCAAACATTTCATTCTTATAACATAATTCATACTCTGAGGGCTTATGTACATCCCGAAAATATTTACTCTAGCTGAGTTATAAAGTCACCAGAAACAAGGGTAAGATGTATAATCAATTATGTATACAAAGGGTAATTAATCGGATACTAACCCATCTGAAATTGGAAATCGAGTAATCACTACACTTGGGTATTAACTCATCTGGAGCCCATGGCTGGGAAATGTCAATGATCGGAACCGAGCAACACATAGCCAGCTAAGAACTCGGTCCTAGAAACAAATGTAACAGTTGTCGGATGGTTAATACAGAAGTTATGCTATCTTTAATGCATCCATTCATAGTTGGCGGAAATCGTTATACTTGCTTGGTACGGTATGAAAACTGAGAGTCGCCTCTAAAATGTGGCTCTAAAAGGAGCAATGGAAGGACTATTTAAAGAGGCTCCCATCTGAAGACTAAACAAGACATATATTCTTGACTGTATATTGTTGTACCCCAAAATTTTGCCTCCCAGTTTTCTTCAAGACATTCTCCTAAGGTCTCAAATGCTCAAGGTGGCTCAAGAATTGATCAGATAAATTATCCTCCTAAGCAATGGACTTACAACTAGGGTTTCATATTTCACAAGGAAGATTGGTTTCCATGGTCTCAAGTGGTTTTCATGGTTCTTCATATGTATTAAGGGATGCTCATATCAAGTTTCAAGCCTTGCATCACAAGTTTGCTTAGTCAAAGGCTCAGATGACTGAAAATCAACTGTATTAGGTAAAAAGTTAACTATAGTCAACATATAGTCAAACTTCAAAAATTTTGGTCAACGTCAACATTTTGAAATTATATTCATCATTTGATCAAGGGTTGATCATGATTCCTCAAGAAAAGCCCTAAAATCATCAAAAGTCAAAAGATGCCAAATTAGGGTTTCCTTAGGAGAAGTCAACTGAACTTTGACCAAGCATAACTTTCACTTGCTTCATCAACTTTTCCCCAACCAAAGCCTATTTTGAAGGAAATTTAATTCTCTACAACTTTGTATATCTATTATCAAGTCCAAAAAATGCTTTGTTTGAGAGATATGAGGCAATACATTATAGGTCATTTCAAAGTTCATCAAAAAGACACTTTTTGTCAAGGCAACTTACATCAAGATAAAGTCTCCAAATACAAAAATATTCAAAAGAGAAATTGTAGAAGACATCTTGAGATTTCCAAAAAGTCTAAGATCACCTTGAAAAGTTGAAAATTGAGTGAGTTATGAATATTGCAAGTTGGGAAAATTTGAGCAAATGCATGAAGTTCAAGTTGAGCAAGCTTGATATTTTGGGCTATTGGGCCATGGTTTAAGAGTCCAAACGTGTATTACACTCCTCATACACATCAAATATTATTCATACACCCCTTGAACTATTTTTGTTTTAATTATTTTAATTATTTTTGATTTATTCGTTAATAATACAAAATAAATAAGATAACTCATATCTTCTTACACAATGTCCAAGTCCACATGTTTTGCCCTAATTTCCACTATATATAATCTCATCAATTCTCAAAAAAAGGGACACGAAACCCTAGCCTCTAAAACTTGTCAAAAATATCATGTTTTTCAAAGAACCCTAGAATTTTCAACAATGCAGAATAGAACAATCATGGAGGTCCCATGCATGCTAAATCGCAAAGTACCGTGTTTGCAACGATCCAACTTGTTTACTTCATAACTCAAAAACCATGTCTTTTCAATCCAAAAAGATTGTACCGTTGAACCCATAGCCCTTGATTTAGGGGGGTAGGGTAATGTTTGCTTTCTAATAATGGTTATTTTGCAGGTTTGATCAAAGAGGACAACCGGAGAAGACGACTGGAGCTAGGGCTCCGGTGCCTCTCCGATTAATACAATCAGGCGTATAATATATATTTATT